CCCGGTTTAACATTCTGTTACATAAAGTGCACAATCCTAGTCTAGTTAAAATCAGATTGTATTCAAAATAAAATTTGCGACCAAAATATCTATCGTAGATTATACGTACAAACCGCCTTTGTACATGTTCAATACTTTCGCTTGCTGAGCCAGATATATTATTCCAAACGACAGATGCGAATTCCAGTTTAGAGCGTACATGGGTGCTGTAGAGTCGCAACAGACAGTGATGACCGCTGAATGGTTTAGTTAAACGAGCCATTATTCCCAACGCCCGCATGGACTGACTGACGATGGAATTAATATGTGAATTGAAAGAAAGGTTGTCATCCACAAAAAACCCTAGATCTTTTACTAGTTTGGTCCTACTTATAGGCTCAATTTCCATAGTATAATCATATGAGAACGTGTTACGCCTTCTTGACAAAGACATCACTTGGGTTTTATGGGGGTTCAAAAGTAAATTGTTTGAAATGCACCATTTCTGTACTGACGAGACATCCTCTTGCAGCAAACTACAGTCGGCGATACAGTCCACCTGCCGAAACAGTTTAACATCGTCTGCAAAAATTAGCACCTGCGAGTGCTTCACGGAGGATATGAGATCATTTACAAAAATTTTAAACAACAAAGGATCAAGATTGGAGCCCTGAGGCACACCCGAAATAGATATGAAAGGACGCGACAGGTAGCCAGAAACTCTAACGCAGTTTTGTCTTTCATGTAAATAACTCCTGAAACAGGTAATGTACTCAGGGCCAAGCCCGTAGTTCTTGAGTTTCAGCAATAACAATTCATGATTAACCCTGTCAAGGGCTTTCGACATATCCAGATATACTGCATCTACCTGTCCCCTACTCTGGACAATTGGCATAGAATAATTAAGAAATGTGCATAAGTTTCTTTTCACGGATCTTCCTGCTAAAACACCATGCCGAACGGGAACAATCTTTCTTTTAAAATAGTTATACAAACGGCTGTATATCACCTTCTCGAACACTTTTCAGAATGCATTTAAAAGAGATACAGGACGATAATTAGTGATGTCGCCACAATTGCCAGATTTGAAAATTGGCACAACAATTGAGCATTTCCAGGTGTTTGGAAAGACACCCTTCTGGAGCGACATGTTAAAGACCTTTTCGACAAGGAGAGCAAACACGTCACAACAGCCCTTCACAATAAAATTTGGAATACCATCGCAACCTGTCGATAGCTTAGAATTTAGTTTACCGATAGCCGAAACCACCTCATCAACCGTAATACTCGTTAAAGGTAAATAGTCATCAGAATCCCATGTCACAGAAGAAGTAGTGTTGAGGTTAGAAAAACATGACTTAAAGGGTTCTGAAAACAGCTCACAGACAGACTTAGGTGACGTATCAATACCAGAATCATTATGTAGCGTTATACAGTTTGACTCCTTCCTGGTATGCTTCTTCACAAAGCGCCAGAATTCTTCCGGTCGCTTGTTTAAGCTAAGGTCCACCTGCCTACGGTACAGATACTGGTCATTAGCGAGGAGTTTTTTTGTTCGTTTACGACATATGCTGTATTTTTCATACCACACGTTGAGTCTTGTATTTTTATACAATCTATGATAATGTAATTTTAACTTCAAGTAATGTCGCAAATCCTTAGAGAACCATTTCGGACACTTCTCGGGACGTTGAAGGTACTTAGGAATGAACATATCCATTGCATCACTAACTACCAATGTGAGACCGTCCACTATAGAACCAACATCTGAGCCTTGTAACATGCTATTCCAGTCGTATTGCGTGAAATATTTAAATAAACCAAAATAATCACAGAGACTATATGCATATCTCAGGACGCAGCAAGGTGATATGACCTTTAAAGACATTGAAAACAAGACCTCAATCGGAGGGTGGTAAGCATCGGCAGTTACCAGGGGATCATTTACACAAGTCACATTCGAAACACGAAAGTTAGATAGAACTAAATCAAGAATGTTTCCAGAGCAATTCACAAACATGTTCTCTTGCGTAAAATCATTAAAATTTAAATAGCTGAATAAACAAGTTGCTTTTGGACGCGTACACTGTTAATAATGCCAGAAAGGCAATCAACCTTTGGAAGATTAAATTCTCCGTAAATGTTTACGCGATATTTAGTCGTATCTATGTTGTTTTCGAGGAAATTGAAGTGGTCTATGAAAAGCGCAGCATCTGAAGCGGGAGGAAAATAATATGTTCCAATCAGAAGGTTGAATCCGTCAGCAGAAGGAATTTCAACCCACACCGATTCCCAATAAGTTTCCAGATCGTTACGTCTATGGGCGTTCAAAGATTGATTGCAGGCTATCAGTACACCACCGCCGTATTTTATTCCTGACGCATAGTCACGGTTCCTGCGAAACACAGAAAAACACGCTGGAAAATAATCGCCACTGGCGATGCCATCATGTAGCCAGGTTTCCGATAAGGTAACGATGTTGTAATCACAACCCAGCAGATTCGACATAAATTCATCTGATTTGGTTCTAAGACCACGAACGTTTTGATAATGTACACTAAGTTTTCGAGCCATGATCAGTTTGAGTTACATTTTCCGAGCCAGTCCCGTAATGCCGGGAAATAGGCAGCCTCCCAAAGAACGGACGAAAAAGAGAGCCATCCGGCCACACATCAGGGCTGTTCAACGCTACCAAAGATTCCTCGTCAATGGCGAGATGAAACGAATTGTAGGTTGGATAGAGTGTCTTTAAACGAGTGCACATCACTGATTTGTCCCCGAGGACGGTTTTCACGATCGCCTCTATGTCCGAGACCGTCGTGGTTGGGTCCATACGGGAAACAAACAAGCCTTTGGAAGGCGGAGCGCGCGGCACCGCTCTGACACCGCAGTTTGTAGCTTGACCGAATGAAACCTGAGGCCTTGGACGACGATCCTGGTTAGAGCGAGGGTAATCAGTCGCACCGTGAGTCACGTTGGAAAACTCACCGTTTTCTTGACTTGGGGAAGATGTCCCACGGGCAGTCGTATTTACAGGTATATCCGGATGTTGTACCTGAGTCCGAGTCTTGGGGCGAGCGCCCACAGCAACTGAAGCGTACGAAGGCGCCACTAATTCCGGGGCGACGGGTGACGCGTTTTTGGAAGCAGCCGCGATGGACTCGTTCACAACTGCTTAGCGAAGCTGGGAGACTTCCTCTCTGAGCGCAAAGTTATCCGCGCGCAGCAGCTTTACCTCGGCCGTCAAAATATCGAGCCGAAACGAAAGCCCTACGAGCAGGCGGATAGTTTTCGATACTATACTTCGTTCATTCCCGAGCTGACAATGCAGCGGGAGTTACGAGCCCACAAGAACCGATAAACCACCCTTCGTTTGGTCACCTGTCCCGTCCCTTTCTTTGCGCGTGGGTACGAACAAGAGCGTGGTTACGTGGAGAAAGATAAACGTGTGACTGTTCCAACGAGTATGCAGCTTCCAGCGCACTGTCAGCTCAGGAATAAACGGCTTGTATAGGCTACAAGGCGAAGGACACATCACCAGTGAGGTCAATACATTTTAAAACCTGAGAGTATAGGACAGATTGATCCCCAACCTTTCTGCTCTTTCTTCAAGCAACTTCAAACAGTAAGCTTCGATCATTGTAAAAACAAACGACTGAATAAATAGTTAATCTCAAATGCCTTGCCAAGGCCCTAGTACGTTTCGTGCGTATTTTTGGCCTTGTCAAACAAAGGTGCTGCTTGTAGTCGGAAAAGACAGAAATCGAGCGAAACAGGTGCCGCTCGTGGTAGGCCTTGCTGCCTTTCCTTAGGAGGTTTGTTCGGGAAAAAAAACATATATGAGCAGATATCGTCACCCGTTTGTTTGGAAAATACACGTTTTAAGAAGCTCGCACCATCCCTTTGCTCACCTGGTGACGCTTCTACCTAGCAAGCAATGAGTTGGTCTCTTCTTTGGGATCAATGCTCCTTGAGAGGAAACACCAAGAATACGTTAACTCGTGCTCTTGGGTGAATAAAATTACATTGCCTCCGAGGCGGAAGGGAAACGGGTCACGTGACGACTCCTTGTAAATCAGAAAGACGGAAACATATCACCCTTAAAATTAAGACGTTCCTCGTTGAACGAACATTGAAGCCGATGAGACGACCGCTTTTCGAGTCACATCTAAATAAGCTATTCATCATTTTTGACACTTGTGTCGTGGGCTTCAGCAAAACAATCGTCAAGTATAATTCACGTTGAGGCGCAAACGCTGTTGCAGTGCAAACAGGGAGATCTGAGGTTTGGCACATATACTGTAAATTAAATAAGCACGAATTACTGTCTCAAATTACTGAAATGTAATGTCAAAAGAGTTGTATTAGTTTTCAACAGTAATTGTAGTAGATCAAAATTAACGGTTGGGCTAGTTGGCTATACATTGTTGAAAATCAAAAGTACAAACACCAAGGAAAAGTAGCTCCTAGGTGTTTGCGCTTTAGATTTCTAACAATAATTGTTGTATATTGTTAAAACTTTTAGTCTGCAATAATTAGTAATGTAATTTAATTACATTTCTGCAGCTTTTAGAAAAGTAATCAGTAATGTAATTCAATTACTTTTCGAAATTAATTTTGCCATCTCTGCGTCAGACCATCTATGCTAAAAAGTATTAACCATACCTGTGACTAAGTGGTTACTTTTCATTTGTCATAGAAATGTCAAAATTAGGTTATTTTTAAGTGTGGGTCATTGAAGATAATTATCTGGCTGTCCCAAATAACCTTCCGCAACCTGTTTGAAGTTTGCACCTTGACATACTATTTTGTGTGATTAACTCTGCGTATATTTATTGCCACAGGGATTGGAGGATTTTTTTCTCCCTACAAACGCAGCTGTTTCTGAACCTACAGCGTCCCATTTTATTCAAATAAAAGGTGATTCATGCAATGGTTTCTAAACTATTCGCCAAAAACAGGAGTGCTCGACTGAGCGTTTATTCGACAATTACCGATAGATACTACCCACGGGTTTTAGAATGCGTCTGCTAAAGATCCATATTCTCGCCGCAGCGGTTATTTTAATTCACATGTCAGCAGTGCTTGCATCCAACAACTGCACACCTTCAGTAAGTAACGATGCATGGAAGGTAAGATAATCGTCTTCGTACCGCACGAAGAGATACATAAACGTGCTGGACAAAGCACTTGGTGAAGTTAATACAGAAAGTGTTTATTTAAACAGTTCCTGGAGACGTTTAAACATGGTTATGCCAAGTACGTAACAGTAGATATGCACAAGATATGCATAATATTTGAGGAAACACAAGCTGACGCAACGGCTAAAAAAGCAATCTACAACGTGTCTTCGATATCAACCGATAATGGCCAAGCAAAGTAAGCAACTTTTCATTACGGTGCTTTAAATTTAAGTACACGCAAATAACGCATTGCGGAGCGCTATATGTCGTGCTTCTAGTCACTACATAAAACTATGTGTTTTCCTCTCCTTAAAAATGTATCGTATGAAATTCTGTCGCGATACTTCAAATATTTCTTGGTTTTATACCGTTGTGCCTATCGCTATTCACACAAGTCCTTAATTATTACTCGCATACAAACTACACGTACTCGCCACTAAAGTAATCATTAATGTATTAATTTGTTAATAAATGTAATATGTTTTAAATCACAGATGTAAACATGATCTTAAGCGTGAGACTGGGGTAGGAAAAGGAAAACGCTTAGGAAGACGGAAAAAAGAAAATAGACAACTTCTCAATTAAGATGTTGCCTGTTTTTTTTTTTTTTTTTCTCTTCCTCTGGCGTTTTTCTCTTCCTACCCCAGTCTAAGGTTTACTATAATGTTCAAGTTACACCAGCCCGCCTGAAATCTGACTATTTCTTCACTGACACGTATTTATTTTGTATATTTGACAGCCCAACTACGAACGAAGTCTTCCAGGTTCAAGAGTGTCCATCTGATATGGAGGTTCACCTGCAAAGTGGTGAGTAAAGAAACGTTTGTCTTGATAGCGTCCCGTAGTTGATCCCTAATAGTGATATATTTTTGAACGTAAAGCTAATAATCGTCCGTAGTGGTCGACGATATTCCCTACATGCAGCGTAATATTAAGGGAATTAACAAATTATTAACGGAAAAAAAATTTAATGAAAAAATAAATTTCGATATATTTTTTTAAGTTTGTTATGTTCTTAGCAGGTCGAAAAATGGCAAGTTTTAAACCCTTTGGAATAGACGCGCAACTGATAATAAAGGAGTGCACAGTAAGAAAATAAAAGACGTTTACAACACCCTGTAACGCCGAGTTAGAGCGCAGCTGTTGAGGAGTAGGAGGAAAGAGTTCTGAGGGGAGGGTATACCCCTCCTCCCTCCTCCTCCTCCTCCCTGCTGCTCCACCTCTCCTCCTCCTCCTTCAACTCCTCCTACTACCGCCATTATTCTTCAACCTTCTCCCTTCCTCTCCTCCCCACTCGCCTCCCCTCCTCCTTCCCTCATCCTTCCTTCTGCTCCCACCACCCCACCCTCTCCTCCCCTCCCTTCTTCCTCCTCCTCCCCGCGCTTTGCATTATTGTAAATGTCCCATAATGGACCGCGCAGGACCCCCGTGACGTCACGTGTGACGTCACGAGCCCCACGCGTTGCATTACGAGACATTTCTTATAATGCACCGTGCGGTTTCGCTGACGCTGACGCCGACGGCGACGGCGACGCCACTTCAGCCGGAAACGGGGGCCTAAGAACTGCGCTCTAATATACCTATAGGAATATGTATATCGCAGATGTTTAATGCAACTGTGAGGAAAAAATTATAAATATTATATATAATTCATAGCACAGACACTACAATGTATTGTTCGTCTCCATGCCTGGATGGAACAGCGCGGATATTCAGTCACACTCACAGGCACACTAGAAGGAGATAGACTCGCAGCGCTGAATAACCACACAGTGATATATTTTTTGAAGAAACAGTGACCCCGCTATAGAGTTATTATAATGTACGCTCGAGGTTCAACTGGCGCCGGTGTCTATGCAACTTCCGTGACGCAAATTGAAGCAGACAGCAACCAGTCTACTTTTGCGGTGCTGATGTGCATTTCTATGGGAAAACGCGCGTGCATTTTGTCTCTTCGCCGGAAAATAACACGGAACACTTTGGTTATTTGGGTCGTTCCGAATAGTAGGTACCTTGATTAACACTGTAAAAGTGTAATTGCTTTACTTAGCGCATTTTTCTTCATAGGTGAACGAAGTTTAACTTCGCTACATTTCAGCCCCAACCGTGTGTTCCGCAGCAGCTGTGTAAAAACAAGCGACGATTCAAAGCAAAATTGCAATCGAAAGGAATATAGAGTGTATTCAAGGCTCGCCAGCATTCCGGTGACGCTTATATACTGATAATATGCCAGTCTTGTCACTATGTGAAAATGACCCCGTCGTGCATAAGCAGATAAAAACATTCAAAACGTAGAGAATAAAGATCCTGGGCTATGAAAGGTGTCTCTTTGTATTGTTTTGTCTGCCGGGCAGCTTTTATCGGGCACTCGTTCTCAAAGATTTCGAGCGTGCCGGTGATATTTTGAACGTAGAACAAGCAGCTTCGCTCAGAGCTGAAAGAATAAAGCGTTATATTACTTATTTAAAATCTGAATAGATTACGTGGCCTTCAAATTATTTTTATCGTACATGCATGGGTAGTTACTGATCCAGTGTTACTGCGTAGTTCTCGCCGTCCCCCTTAATTTCCAAATGAATGTACTTCGTTTGGCACGTATATCCCTCATGCTGAAAAGCGCCGACGTCGTGTTCGCGCTAACAGTGTCCGACAGTGCACATAAATGCACATACGGAGCCATTAAAGCAGCGTTTTTAATGCGATGAATTTGAAAGAAAAACGCCGTAACTGACCAATTATTTCGTTGGTCGGACTAAGAAATGTTCCAAGCTACCTTGTACGTACGAATTATTTGGGATATTTGCTCTTGTGATCGAGCGCTGGGAGAAAATACACTCACTTTTTCCCATAGAAATGCATTACCGGAAGTCAATTTTCGACTGGTTGCTGTCTGCTTCAATTTGCGTCAGCACACTAGCGCCACTTGAACCTCTTGCGTACATTATAATAACTCTATGGACCCCGCAGGCGAGCTTGTGGATGTTGATCATGATGTAGAGTATCCGAAACTATGGTAAAAGCTGGGAAACATGGTCGAAGAAAAAAGAGAATAATCTCAGGTAACCTAGGAATCCATTGCCGGGACTGCGGCTGCTCAGCAGACTTGAGAAACTGCGCTGTTATTGCCAGAAGTGCTAATCATCTGACACGAGAAATTATCGAAGCTGAAAAAATAGCCAGGTTAGACAAGCAATGCGCCAGTACTTGTCATTAGCTTTATCAAAGAAAGAATTCGATTATCTCGAGATAACATCAAAGTATCAATGAAGATGAAACAAATTTTGGTTAATTTTTTTTTTAATTTTTTGCTTATTTTATTTTTAATTATTAATTTTCATTTTTATTTTTTATTAAAAATTTGATTAAAAATAATTCTTTTTTAAATTTGATTTTAATTTTATTTTAGTTGGCACTTATTTATTTATTATTTATTAAACTTCATTAGCTATTTGGTTTCTGGTGTGTAAAACTTTAAATTGTTCTCTTTACGGCGAAGGAGAAGCTGATGACATTTGAGGAGGAAGAAATATATCACTGAGTTGTTAGCGTTGCGAGTCTGTCTCCTCCTTGTATGCCTGTGAGTGTGACCGTAAATCCGCGCTGTTCCATCCAAGCATGAATTACCAATTAGCCCAAGCCTTCACATTATCAAGTTTGTCTCCAATTTGATGTCTTATTTCTTAAAATTTATATCTTGAGCATTCATCTTTATTGAATTTATTTTGAGGGCAAAGAAAATAACATTTTACAACCTCCCCAACAATATAAAAATATCTAGTACAAACTTAATTTTGTCCCCCAGGTTCATAACACAAGTTTGCGATCAATTTTGTATAGGTGTTTTGAAGTCTTAAATTGACTATCTATTTTTCTTTTTAAATAAATAATTGACAAAACAAAAATATTGACACGGAAGCTTTCATTCATCTCGTACGTTTAATTTAGTTAACAATGTGGGGAATAAATGGTGAAATAGAAATATCGGATAATAAAAAGTAAACACGAACAAGTGTTTCTGTCTTTTTTTTTTCTTGCAGATGGTCAATATCTTTATAACGTGACGATCAAGTACAGCGACTACGCCACTTGCACCATCTTGCATCACCATGACGCAACTCACGGCACGTTTGCATTTACATTGCTTTCTGGAAGGTGCCCGGCCTAAGAAAATGGATTTGCAAACAAGTTCAAAACGCATTCAGAGCTTAAGAGCTCCTCTAGAAACTACAGCGTTCCTTAAAAATTAAAAAAAAAAAAACTTCTGTTAATGGAAACGAGTGAAAGAATAACGTATGAGCGAAAATGAAACCATCGGAATGGGGAAAAAAACGTACACTATCAATTGATGCTTGTTAGCGCTGAGAGGATTATATTCGACTCTACAAATTGCGTACTTAGAGCGCATACCCGAAGAAGAGTAGCAGTATTGTGGTTCAGAGTTAAGAAACCGGCAAACATTGGGGGGTTTGATTCATGACCACGCTGTTCGCTATCGGACGGAGGTTGTTTGCGACGTAGAGCTGAGATTCGGCTACGCGGTAAAGATAATCGTGTGACACAAATCGTATCTGAATGAAATAATCTCTCATTAATATAGACACCTCCAATCCCCAAAATTGTCGTCCGTGTCCTGAATTGTCCATAATTACGACGCGAAATTGCATGTATTTACCCCCCCCCCCCTCCGAAAAGAACAGTATAAACTTTATAACGGAACCTAAAATCTAACTGGATTTCTTGCTAAACCTGAAATTCAGGTTGCAGACAAAGGTTTGGAAAATAGATTTTAGGTTTCCAGCAAGAATTCCAGTTAGACTTTTTGTTCCATAATACAGTTTATACTGTGTTTTGTTTGTTTTTTCGGTAGGGCAGTTTGTCCTGAAATCGGTTGTCTATATAATCTTGTATCCGTATAAACGGAGTCCGTACTATCTGGACATCAGTATGTCTCTAAAAAGTAAAAAAAAAAGATTTAAATTTATTTGAATAACTTTTATATCTTTTTTTTTTACTTTCCGCCTACAATTTGTATTGCATTACACAACTCGCCTTCTAAATATATTAGGTATTTCATAGACATTTCAGCTAAGGGTTCTGGGTATCAACAAATAAAATTAGTATATCTTAGTCGCCAATCAGACTTGCAATTGAAGCGCAGTCTCTAGTTTTTGTTGGTACTGTCGGATGAATGTTTTTAGAAACTCTACACTAATAAAAAATTCAAAAATTCCTCTCGGAGGTTTTTTTTTTTTTTTTTGAGAGCGACACTGTTTTTCAGCAAATATTCTCGTAATTATACAAATTCTAGACCAGTTATGTTTTTTTATGATTTTTCGGTATTCTTATGCTCTTACCGCCTGTAGCACTCCCCTGTCTTTGTCAACTGAGCGTGAATAAAGGGCGTGAAAAAAGCCCATATAGGCTTTTGGCCAGATTATTGAAAACTACGAAACCGACAAGTAGTCGACCACAAAACTTGAAATGGGATACCAATATAAAGGTGGAAGTAGAACCAGCCTGATATTACAACACTCTCGAGAGGGTGATGGTTAGAAGCCTGTGCGGATAGCAGTTTGATCATCCTCCTCTGATCCGCATCCCCAGACTTTGTATCCCGGCATCCGAACCGCATCTGCGAAATTGGGAACCTCATCCGACCCACCATCCCCACATTCATTATAAACTCAAGTATGAACAAACAAAAAGAAAGAATCTGGATGGTACCTTAATAATTTATAAGCAGTTTGTTTATCCCGTACAAAGAACAATTCGAGTTAGAATACGGTAAGGGTAATTTTCTATCCTATTCTGTTTTACCGTATTTATAAACATTGACTTACGATTTGAGCGCGTTTGTGGGTTTCGGTTTCTTATCGGAGCGCATCTCAGCGTGGGCAATCCTGCCCTTCGTGTCTAAAACCCGCAACGTGCGTGCGCCGCCACGCATCGCAGGTAAAGATGCATTACACATTGGCACTCAAGTGAAAAAGACCAACCTCCTGTGGCAGTACTAAGACTTTCTTATCTAGCATCTTCTTCGTGCGATGCGAGGCGGCGCACGCACGTTTTCACGTTTTAGTCACGGGGTTGGATTGCCCGCGTGGTGATGCCATCGGATAAGAAACCGAAACCCAGAAACGGGTCCAAACTGAGAATTTTTTCGACCGCCATAAAATGCTGCGCGCGCCTTATATCATTGTAATGTGGTTGTGTTTGGTAGCTTTCGACGATGCCTAGCGTGATTCTAATTAAAATCATGCCTTTAAAACCCATCGATAAGACTTTAATTGATCAAAATGCATTAATCACCCAATTGTATTGTACGCTAATAATTTTCCTTATTGGGCTTTATGACAGGGAATGCTACGGCATCAACCTTTTTTCTGTGCGATGCGTAGTTCTCGTAGGAGCGATATTTCTCACGTTTCGGAAACACCCTGAATTATTAGAAATCTATCATGTAGAAATAGCTTTTTATTGCTGCTATGCCCAGCTGAAAAAACTGTATGAAGCGGGTCCCACCAATATCATCTGTTGGGCTAGTTGGTTAAACATGATCAGATAAAATTAGCGCAACCGACAAGAAAAGAGAAAGGTAAGACAGGAGAGAGCGCCACTCACAACTGACGTTTTAATAAAAAAAACAAGAAGGAAGTGAAGCATTTTAAAAATAAAATCTCCTTTTATTCTTAAAATGCTTCACTTCCTTCTTGTTTTTTTTTTTTCTATTAAAACGTCAGTTGTGAGTAGCGCTCTGTCCTGTCTTACCTTTCTCTTCTCTTGTCGTTTGCGCTAATTTTATCTAAGCGGGTCCCATATTTAAAAAAAAAAAAGAATATTCTCTTTTTATCTGGTTACCCCCGTTTTGTAAAGCCTGCTTTTTAGCTAAATTAGATATTAAAGCAGTCAAATTCATGAAAAATATGTCAACTGTGAATAAACGTGCTGAGAAGTCATTCACCGCCAAAGAGCATTAATCATCCTTGTGGCTCAACTAGAAGCATAGTTAGATAACGCCGGTTCATTTAATGTCATGTTAAACCAAGTTTTATTGTGAGCACAGGCTTGATAGCCTTTCTGATTGCCATTTTATATATCTGTTTAGTCTCTTGATTATTTTGATGTAATATCTGTAGTATCTCAAATATTGCGGTACGAGATTTTACAGGATACTTCTGGAGGAAAAGTGCAGGTTTATTATTATATTTGTTGGTCCCTGTTAATAAATTCAGAACCTCACTCTACTAATCGGCCTGTGGTAAAACCGTCATGGCATTCATATTATAATGTTAGCTCGTTCTGCTGTACAAAAATTACATGCATTTTCGAATGGCATGGTTTAAAGTTTGCTGTGATAGAATGATGCCCCATCATTTGATAATCAGCATGCATATCGTGCTAATACTAATTTTTATAAATGTGCAATATTGCTTTTCCAATTTCTAAGCTACTCCGTGTTTGCTTCTGCAGCTTGCTCAATGTTCCTGACTCAAGAGGCAAATTCTGATAAAGAGGCGTGCTTAACCCAGTTTGTCAAGTATTGCGGAAACGTTTATTATGACATCTACTACGAGTCCATTTGCAATAGAACTTGAGGTACAGATCTTATCTCCAGAAGCCAATGTTTTCCAGATAATAAAATAACATATTCATGTTTTTCTTTTAATAAATACGATTGTGCCTACTCAAAATTTTGTTTTTCTCCAAAAATATGTTCCAGAGAGCGCAGCAGCTCTGTCAATTGTCTTCATGAGTTCAACAACACCTGAATATATTTGGTATCAGGCAAGTGTTATCGCAATATAAGAACAGAGTTTTAAGCACCTAAGTGATAATGTTAAGTTTCCTTTACATTCAATTTTGTTTTAAAACGCAATGCGCCCTTATTGGCCCGTAAAAGTATTCTATAAACCAACAGCCTAAACTGGGTGTTGAAAGGCGGAGCAACATGGACCACAGTGGGAATTCAAACTCGGCCCGCTGGAGGACCCTCTTGGGCAGCCCACAGGGCCCCCTCATGAAGCCTTCAGTGGACCGAGTTTTTTGGCGAAATAGGCTATTCCTCATGGGATACACAAGGGCCTAGTCGGTCAGTACACCTGGCTCATAATAGAGAATTCTCGGGCGGCCTACTTGTGGGGACGACATGAGCTTCCCTCAGGAAGAGTGGGCAAGGTAGGTTTGGGCATCAAACCCAAACCGAAATTATCACGAGTGACGCCCTCTCTACTGAAGCAATCGGTTTGCACAGGACGGGGACATACTTCACTCGGATTGTCGCCCTGCAAATTGCAATATAGTGTGGTGAAGTAATGTTAGAATTACTTCTTATTCAGATGCTGGTCACCGCCGAGAGGTTGCAAAGAGGGCCAATTCGTTCTTTTTGAAAGCGTCAGATAGCAGACGCTATGTGACGCTTTCTCTTCATCGCTTTTCTGTAACTTGTTTATTTTAGTGAAGCGCCGAGTTTGGTCATCCTACACGGTAGGCTTGTTTTCATGGAGAAAACTATGACACCCGATGCATTTGGTAGAAGGAGATGGTAACCTCAACGAAGTTAATTCTTTTATCAGCTTCTTAAATTGTTTTTTCCGGGATTCGAGGTGCAGAACACAGTTATTCAAATTATTTTTATGTGAAAAGAGTATTGTCTTGCTGCGCATACTTATATTGATCTTCCCCAGTATTCGGTTTGCATAAGCAATATTATGACGTGCTCCTCAATACTTTTTTTCGTCGGCTTGCTGTAGCGCGCGAAGTTTGACAGGAATGACAACTCCCTCAGATATCTGGCATGACTTGTGCAAAGGAGGACAAAGTCAGTAGGACTGAACAATTCCGGGTTTCCCTGGCTCTCTTCACAACTTTAGATTTCTACCAAAAACACAAGTGGGGTGGAATGCTTTCTCCGAAAAAAATATTTGGTATTTTGCATTACCATCTATGAGGGCAATAAAACAAAATCGTCGATGTCGTGTTTTCTGCCGATTCTCACAGCGTACTTACTGATTTACAGCGCTTAGCTAGAAGGAAACTTGCAGTTCTTGAACCCGTTAACACCTTCTAACCAATTTGCACTCGTTAGTAAAAAGTAGTAATTAACAAACCGCAATGAGAGGCGACACTCTTCACGCTCCCTTCACTCCCTACCTCAGGGTAGTCTCTTCCGTCTCGTCCTCTCTTCGAAAAACAATTTTGCTTACACTTGTGCAGTGTTGTAACCACTGCTCATCGGGCCAAATTGGCTAATTGTGCAGCGCTCATGGGCTACCCTCAATATAACAATAGGGAGCCCAAGCACCACATAGTTATGTCCAAATAATCAAATTGTAATGGCAGAAGGATGAACCAATGATGCCTCAGAGGAGCTAATAGATTACCAATATTCGTTGTGCTGGAACAATAAGGACCCACCTTATGTAATATTATTTTAATATTGAAAGGACCGTGGCATAATGGGAGATATCAGTATTGTAGTTCGTGCTTGGGTACCGAAGTGGACGACAACTTTTAAATCCTTCATCGTATGTCCTTATATACAGTGGTGCTCTAGCGGCGTAGCTGTAGCGCTTGCGATGGGGCTGTGTCAGTGACGTCATACCTACATCTTCCTTCTTTCAAAACAAGACAAGAAGAAAGAAGAAGAAAAAAATGTAAAACAAAACGAGAAAATAAAAAAAATAACAATAAGAACAAACTTTACGAACACACTTCTTCTTGTGCGTCAGTGGTTCATATTCGGTCCTTAAGTATCTGTTGGGGCTCCGCCGCTGCCTTAAACTTCTCCTGAGGTCCTGGCCTGGGGTTTCCATTGTAGGGGCTTCTCTTGTGGAACAGGAAGGGTGTGTTGTCTAGGCAGTTCGTGCGATCCAGGGATCGGGATCACTGGCTCCGGCTGAGGCGGTGATGCCCTCAGGTGCTTTCTCGTTTGCGTTAGCATGCGCCCGTCATAAGTCTCCATCACATAAGAACGAGCGGGCCCGGCTCTTTTTACGACGAGTGCTGGAGACCGCGTGTGTGCGATGGTGTCAATGTGGACACCTGCTGACCCTGGTGCAGTTGTGAAAGAGCCCTTGTTTTGTTGTAGTACGTTCGTTGCTTCTTGTGGATCACCTGTAGTCGGCTTCTCACCTCGCTGGGCTCTAAGATGGCTGGCTGCAGGAAGCGGTCGAGAACCGGAAGTAACGTCCGTGTCTGACGACCCCTTTGCCTTTTGCACTGGAGACTTTAGCAGTTGGTCCCTTGGGCTGTTGCGCCATTCCAGGAGGGCGCTGCACAAGTCAAGGGTGTTGTAGCCGCAATTGGTCAGCAGTTTCTTTTGCCTCTTGTACGGCGCGCTCCGCCATTTCATTGGAGAGGTGTGGTAAGGGCTTGTTGTCCGTGAGTAATTCGAGATTTACTGAGGAAGTCCTGAAAATATCGGGTATTTAATGGGAATCCGTTGTCGCTACACAGTGTTGTTGGGAATGCATGCGTGGCGAAGGCTTCTGCACAGCCGGGGACCACTCAAAATGCCGTGGACTGCCCAAGTTCCTTCATTTCGAATAAAAAGGGATAAAAGTCAACAATGACTAAAAGGGTACGGCCGCCGTGGTAGAACAGGTCTACACCCACTACATGCCACAGGAGACTTGGCAGGTCATGGCTTAGCAACGGTAGCCTTGCGTTTCTGGGCTTGTACTTCCTACAGACTTCACGTGAGTTCGCAAGAACCTCGATATCGCTTGACATGGTCGGCCACTACATCACTTCTGTGACAAGCGTCTTCATTTTGCTTCACCCCCATGTGCTGCATGTAAGATTTTCAGAACTTCTACTCTCTTTGCCGCTGAGATCACCACTTCGTGGCTCCAGAAGACAAGACCGTCTTGTACGCGCACCTCTCTCTACATTCATATTTGAAAACGAGCGTATTGGTTAATAGATACAAATCTTGAAAGAATAAAACAGAGAGGACGAGGACGGGAACAGGACATCTTGCATTTGGCAACAGCATAGAATGTTGTTGCAAATGAAAGATGACCTCTTCCCGCCCTCGTCCTCTCTGTTTTATTCTTTAAAGATTTGTATCTCTTCTATGTAGTTCCAATACGGTCGAACCTCGTCTCCGGGATCTCCGCCAGTCGTGCACCTGAAATCGATAGGGTGGAAACGACAGTAACTTGAAATTGTTCGGTTTCATCTTTCAGCATGATTCTGGTTGGAAATCTTGAGAGTGCGTCAGCGAGGAAAAGTTTTTTCCCTGGCTTGTACTTCACTGTTGTAGGGTATCTCTGCAGCACAAGCCTCATTCTTATTAAAGTATGACGACCTACCAATCCCTAAATCAGGGGCCTCATTCTTTGTAGGCGCAGTGGGCAATCGCAAAGGGGCTTCCTAAAAATTGCTTCCAGTGGCTTATGATCGGATTCAGCGGTCACATCTGAGTGCCCCAAAATATAATCCTCAAACTTGCTGCATCCGTGAACAATAGCCAACGTCTTTTTTTATCTCTGCATATTTTGTTGCGTTGCGGTGAGGGAGCCGGATGAGTAGGCGATGGGGTGTCCATTCTGAATAATCACAGCTCTGATGCCAGTTTGGCTGACGTCTAATGATAAGATGATCGGCTTGCCTTGTTCGAAATAGGCGAGCACTGGTGCCTTGATAAGACATTTCCTCAAAGCTTAAAAACTATATTGCTGGTGTTCAGTCCACACCCAAGCAATATATATTTTAGTAGCTCGCGCAGGAGTGCCGAGAGTCCTGATATGTTCGGTATAAACCGGGCCACAAAGTTAGTCATTCCAAAAAAAACTTGGAGTTCCTCACGTTTTCTGGGTGTGTACACATACAGCTAGTATGTCTTCGACCCGTCCGGGATCTTTGCTCAACCCCCAACTTGTCAAAATGTGGCCAAAGTAACACACATGGTCGTGCAAAAAACGATACTTTTTTTAGATTCAACGTCAGGTCGGGCTGCGCGCAGCGCTGCAGCAGACTCTTCAGACTCTCGTCGTGTTCTTGCTTTGTAGTCCCCCAAATTAGGATATCATCCATAACAACTGTCACATTCTTCAGTTCTTCTAGAATACCGTGCATTGCGCGTTGGAAAATTCTGGTGCCATTGGAATCCCGAATGGCATGCGCAGAAACCTGCATCTGCCATAGTGAGTACTCATGGTACAAATCTAGGAACTTGCTTCTTTCAACTTCATATTGTAGAAGCCGAATGACGCCTCTCAGGTTGAAGTAACTTGGCACCTTGCAGACGTGGAGAAACATCCTCTAATCTTGGAATACGGTAAAAGTCACGTAGTAGTGAACTATAGAGGTCAGATGGATCCAAGCAACTTCTAAATTTGTCTTTTTTGGAACAACCATGTGACTAAACCGTTCAGTCAGTTCTGTTACCTTTATTGTGACGTGCTCAACTTCCATGTGGTCCAGCTCGCTCTTGACTTTGTTGTGGAGAGCCACAGCAACTCGTCTGGCAGCGTTCATGACGCCCTTTGCTCCTGGTTGTAGTTTTATGTAGTAAGCCACATCCTTCAGCTGACCGAGTCACTGGAAAACGACTGCAAAAGGACAAGCCGCCTCGTAGAGTTCCGTACCG